TTGGGCTGATCAAACCAGTAATACAATTCCTTAATCTCCTTGAAAGACATTTTGAAAGGATCTTGTACAACCCTCCTACAAGGCTTATGGGTCTAAAATCATCTAATCCACCAATATTAGACACCTTGGGAATAAGAGTAATGAAAGTATGATTGACTCCATGTTCCCAATCTTTCCCCATATAGAAATTATGAAAAAATTTTAGAATATCTACCTTTAGAGTAGACCAAAATCTCTTGAAAAAGCCCATATTTAATACATCCGGTCCGGGAGCTTTGTTACTATCACACGATTGAAGAGTTTCCCAAATTTCTTCCTCTGTAAATTCTCTTTCCAAAAACACACTTTGCTCCACTGAAATTCTGGAAAAATTCAGCTTCAAATCTTCAACTTCCAAGGTAGACTTGGAATTATAGATTCCAAAAAAATGGTCCTTAACAGTAGTTTTGATGATAGTTGGATCTTGAATAATCTCACCATTGATATTTAGAACACTCATAAAATTCATTTCTTCTGACTGAAGCACATGCATGGAAAAATCTTGTATTACGATCCCCTGCTTGCACCCATTTTGATCTCGATTTTTGAAGCCAAATTTGTTCTTCAATTTTATAAAGCTTCCATAATTCTGTTCTCATAGTCCTCAATTCTGCAGCTTTTTCACAACCATTAGAGTCTTGCATTTGCCGGAAATTTTCCTCTGCTATGTGGATATTCCTTTCTAATTCTGCAATTTCTACAGCTGGGTATTGATCTCTATTCCCTGCCCATTCCTTGATCGCCAATTTGGTAGATTTCAGGATAGAAAAAATTCCATCTCTGTTGTGATTACTCTTGCAGTTTTGTACAGCAGAGCCAACTAAATTCTGAAAACCTTCTTCATCCATCAAATAACTAAATAACCTGAATGGTTTTTTACCCCAACTAATTCCACACTTCTCAAGAAAAATGGCATTGTGATCTGATATAGCCTTAGGTAACAAATACTGTATAGTCTCAGGAAAGGCTTCCAAGAAACGGGCATCAACAAGGAACCTGTCCAGTCTAACAAAAGTGGGTATATCCTGATTGCTACACCATGTGAACCTACCCCCATGCAGAGGTAGATCAATTAAACCTGTTTGTTGGATAAAATGACTGAAAATTCTAATTGAATTTCTGTTTTGGGCTCTTCCAATCTTCTCCTCTTTTGAAAGATACACATTAAAATCACCTCCCACACAAAGAGGAATACTCTGACCACAAATAAAACCAGCTAACTCTTCAAAAAAGCAAGCTTTTTCTTCTTCAACAGTAGGACCATAAACATTGATGAAACCACACCTAAGTTGTGAAGTTCAAAATTTCCCAAAAGTAGCAATGAACCTTTTGTTTATAACATGATTTTCCACTTCAAACATGCCCTCATCCCAACAACTCAATAAACCTCCAGAAGAATCCACTGCTGGAGATTTTGTAAACCCTTGAAGGGTATTCAAGCCACTCCTCCTCAAAAAATGCCCCTGAATCTTCTCCATTTTCGTTTCTTGAAGCAAAAAAAAATAAGGCGTTTCTTTATAACTAAATTTTGAACAGATCTTTGTTTTTCCTTTCTTCCTAATCCCCGAACGTTCCATGAAATAATTGCTAATTGATTAATCATCACAAAAATAAAAGACCAGAACTGCCAAGAAAATTGAAGCTCAAACCAGCCTCAAATCTTCCTCCAACTTAATAATTTTTTCCAAAAAAGTTGACTTCCATTCCTTGAAAGACACCCCCAAAAGCTTACTGACTTCCCAAGTAGCTAAGGCTTCCTCCAATAGAACTGAAAAAGCTGGAAAAGAAACTGTTGAAATGCTTGCCTGATCCAATGCCTCCCTTATCAACAACCTTTTGGCTCTTCGAATCAATGCAGTGGAATTGAAATCAGAATCATCACCTTCTGGAAACCACCCTTCACACGTATTACCCAAACTGCTATTAGCAACATGCCTCTCCTCAGTAGACTCCACACAACCATCCATATTAAAATCTGCTACTGGACTGACTGGCAGAACTGAATTTAGCACCAATTCCTTACCCTTTAGCTTGTCTAAGGCTTCCTCTTCTGTAGTTAATGGCCAATGTCTTCTCTCCCTTTATCTCGAATACACCCTTTTATAACTAACCATTCTCCTTTCCAACGGCTCACTCCTAGTAGTTAAAGATGAATTAGATCGATGAAGCGATCTTCCCCTAGAAATCATTTTTCCAGCATGTGTATTAGAGTCAATCATCTTAGTTATTGCTGTTAACTCTACTTCCCCACTGCGCAGCATCAAACTGGAATGAGATATACCTCTATTATTTGCTTCCTCCATGTTGACAGATTGAACAATAAATTGGTTCTGGACCATTCTCCCAAAACTATCCAATTTAATAACTGGCCCAGCTGGAATTATTTTAAAATCTGTAGAACTAGGCTGTCCACTTTCTACTGACTGGGCTTCAGACCCATCAGCCGAAAAATTAAAAATTGCATCCCAAACCGGCATAGTCACCCAAATTGTTTCTCCCAAGATCTTGGCAGTCTGACACCTCACAATTAATGCTTTTCTCATCTCTGTTAAGCATTGGGATATGATTTTCCCCACCTGCTCCAACCAAACCCATATAAGCTCCTTTGTCAAACCATAAGTCTACCTTTTGTCTGTTGTGTTCTTTTGAATGTTTAGCACTTTCCATACTTTCTGACACACTCCTGTCAGCTTCCTCTCCAGCAAACTTCTCACCAATTTGAATTTCATCGGAACCTCCCACCGGCGCTTTGCTAGAAAATTTTGAATTATACTCGAGCACCGAACCCCGCTTAATCTTCACTGTATAAGATCTTCCATAAGCTCCAAGTGTTAACACCTCAGGGACATCATATGAGCACGCCACCCTGATCAAAATCTTCGCCGTGGAGAGGTCTTCTCTGTTTCTTGTATCTTCATGGATATCTTCCACCATTCCCCACCTCCCTGCTAAACGTTCCAAGAAGGTGTTTTGCCAGCATAATAATGGAACCCCAGATAGTTCTATGAGGCAAAAAGCCATTGGAATGCCATCATTATTCAATAAAGGTGCCAACCTATCGAACCAGAAAAGTAGTTCATCTTTTTTCGTCGACCATGCATCCAACATTTCCTCATTCGACTTAAAGGTTACAACACATGAATTCCAAACGTAACCCCATCTGGCAATCTGAACTTCAAGACCTTCATTAACTAGAGACTTCTGGACTAATTCTAACTCAAAAGAATGTTTAATAATTCCCGTTAATGACCTCTTCAACCAACTGGAGCTCTCTGAAGGAATATGCATTTCCCACATATTTTTTATGCCTTTCCTTCTGTTGAAACCTTCATATGCCATTTCCCTTTGGTCCGATACATTACTCTTCAATCTATTAGACAGTAAGGCATCCTTGTAAGATCTTTCATCCCTTAAACTCCTGTTAATATCAACTTTCTCTTTTGACCTTGAAGTATCAACTGAGACCTGTTTTAAAGTCATCTCCAGTGAACTATTCTGCCCTGCTGACCTCGTACGAGCATCCTTGTATCGTGCAACACCAACTGTAATTCTCCGACCATCCATCAATGAACCATTCAACTTGTTAATAGCCCGTTTTAGACTTTCCTCGTTACCAAAATGAACAAAGGCGAAAGTGGAGAATTTGTATTTTGGATTCCTTGTTTCTTTAGGAATGAACACTCTGACTACCGGACCTTGAGTTGAGAACAACTCCCTTAACTCTCGTCGAGACACTCTTCTACTTAGATTATCGATGAACGCCGACCAAACACTCCCGGAAGAAAACTTCCCTTTCAATTTTTCTCTCTCTACGTTCCTATCTCTCTCACTCATCTTGTCTAAGAGAAGATTTTTATAAATAAAATATTATCCATAAAGCACTTCTAGGTACTCTCCTACTAAGGTTATCCACAAAAGCTACCCAAGAAACTCCTCCAGGCACTGATCTGCCACTGCCGGGAGAGACACTACCTTCCGAAAACTCTCTCACTCTCTCTCTAGACATTGTACTTTTTTTATACTGAAGTTTTATTATTTTCGGTTGTTATATCATTACTGGGCATACCAATTTTCATTTTTTTGCTTGTGGGTTTTAATATATTTGTGATACTACAATCTTCAATGCTTTAAGTTAAGTACACTTCGCATTATTTTGTTTAGAAACAATTGATAGATGGAATCTTTGTGAAAGTAAGTTTTGCATGACTGTTTATGAGTGTTTCTGGGGCTAAACCTGGTTTTAGATTAAAAACGGTTGTCTGGAGAAGTTTTTGGGTTGTTATTTTCTTTTTTCAGTTTTGTTAGGTATCATTTATGCATTTTAATAAGCTATCATTGTCTCATTACTTTTGAAACTCTACACAATATTTTACTAGACTTGTTTGATCTCGAAAATGATCATATAGTTGACTAAAAATACTCTCATTTTGCTTGCTGCACTCATTTAAGCTAACCTTGAACTTGAGATGGTGCAATAGGTTTGTTTTTATCTAATTGGACTAGTAACAAACATATGATCCAGACATTGAAAAAGAAAATGGAAAAGAGACTTGCTTCTAAAATTTTGTAGATTTGCTAGTTCTTCTGTTGAGACACAATTGTCTGTTTCTGTTTTATATTTATAAGTTTTTTGTACAAATCAATGTAGAGACTAGAGCATCAATATACTGAGAGGTGTTTCAAAATTTTGCACTCTGTATCAATTACCATATCACACTATGTAAAGCATTGCCAATATTGACTGATTTTGTCATATTTGTACCAACATCTTGACCAGTTTAATGAAATATTTAGACTATTCATTTTATAAAATGAATATTTTAAAACAGTATACTATAATCAGCATCTTGTGAACTTCAACATCTGATATGCTTGCTTGCTTTTCATGAATTCATTTTTCATAAATGCACTTGTCATATATTTGTTTTGCTATGGAATTGCTGATTTGCTCTTTCTTCCAGAGATCTCAGTTTCAATAAATTGGAAGGTAATATTTCAGACTCTGAAAGCCTTACAAAAACACAATACATGTAAGTACTGTGAATTCTTGAGGTGTATTCTTCCAAAACCAAATTAACCAATATGAAGAACACTAAGCACAATATGCTCAAAGTAGTTTATCAAAAGTTTTAAGGTTATTAGACTTTTTGGTTCTTATGATAAGGGAACATTTTCATTTGTTTATTTTATCTGAACACTCCGCATCTTGGAAAGTCAAACAAAATTAGCTTGCTGGTTCTTCCGCAACTTCAGAATCAGGAATCTGCATGCATTAATATCCTTACATAGGTTATAAATTTGATTGAACTTATTTCACTTTAAGCTTTAGTTATAACCTTTCAATATAGTTCCAATAGAATAGCTTAACTGTGGAATGTTTTGCTTACTGATTAGGTACCTGACAGACAACTCGCTTACTGGGATCATTCCAGATTGGATGAGTATTAGAGATAGCCGCTAGTAGGTTTACTATCCTTTTTTTTACCTTGACACATGATTATCTGTTTATATTCTGTATTTTGTTAACCGACTCTTCAAAGAGTATTTGTTGTATGATTTTTTTCTGGATTTGATCCTAAGCTATTTACAGTAACTTAAGGGTTTATAATCTATTATACTTGAGGATTTTCTGGGGTTTCTCTTCAAACAGTGCAGAAATAACCCAATTTATCCATTTTGTAGTTGCTCAAGAGTACCATTCCTAGAAACATGTCCCTCTAACTTGTATCTACCAGCTATAACATTGTTAGTTTAATCAAAATTAATTTGCTTTATTGTTTCAACTCTAGTTATTTATAATCTATTATACTTTTATGCAGCCAGATTGATCTTTCTTATAATAATTTTTCTGAAGGCCCAGGGTCGCCTTCTTGTCGTGAAAATCTGTAAGAAAAAGTTCCTCTTAACTTGGCTCTCTATGCTGTGTACGCATTACTTTTCCAACTTTCTGTAAGATGTTTTGAAATATTAAAGTGATTCATCTGTTGTGCTTCATTAGAAATTTGTTCGAGAGCTTCTCAGGAGGCAAATACTTGTAAGTTTGAATCTTATTGAGATAAAAAGTTACCAATTTTTTTGTTATTTCTATTCTTCCCCTTTTAATAATTCTTTAAAAGGACTGATGCTTCTTTGTTGTACTACTCTGATGTAGAGGACTAGATAACTGCCTGAAGAACTTTCCTTGTTCCAAAGGTAATTCCTTTGCATTAAAATGCAAATCTGTAGACTCTAACAACATGTTTTACGGTAAGGTTTTGTCCTAATGAACTTGAAATGTTTTTTTCATTCTTAATAGATTGGTATTCGGTAAATATAAATTGTGGTGGAGGAGCAACAACTATTAATGGCATTGACTATGAGGCAGATGAAGACTTAGGAGGTCCAGCAAAATATTTTCCACTCAAAGAGACTTGGGAAACTAGTAGCACTGGGCTTTTCTGGGATACCTCTGTTACTTCAAAAGACTTTATAGCACAAAATGTTTCCATTCTCAGAACAAACAACTCGGATTTATACACAAGAGCGCGCCTCTCTCCTCTTTCTCTCACGTATTATTTTCGTTGCTTAGCAAATGGAAACTATACGGTTACACTTCACTTTGCAGAGATAGTTATCAGAGCCAATAGATCCTATCAAAGTCTTGGTAGGAGGATATTTGACGTTTATGTACAGGTAGTCCTTCATGTCATATATGTAGTGTGATTTGGATATTCCCGAAATTGGTTGATTGAATAAGTTCATTGCAGGAGAAACTGGAATTGGAAGATTTCAATATTAAAGATGAGGCAAAGGGTGTCGATAAAGAGGTTATCAGGAAATTTAAAACGGTTGTCATGAACAAAACTTTGACAATACGCTTTCACTGGGCTGGGAAGGGGACAACGGGAACCCCAAGAAGAGGAACATATGGCCCTTTGATATCAGCCATCTCAGTAGCCTCTGGTAAGATCTGTAATTAAAATAGCCATTCATTCTTCTTAGGTGCTTACTCAATCTGCTAGTTATATTTGGGAACTAGATTCTTTTTGTCCAATTTGTTTGATTCTTGAAATGGATTGACATGTACATTATATGATGCAATGATGAAATTTCCCTTAAAATGTTTGCATGACATAGATTCTTGGCAGCTGAAACTAGTAGAACTTCACTGTAAACTGACCCAGCAACATTCAACCAGCTTTATGTGCTTAAATTTTTTGAAAAGGAACTTTATCCAATACCATCTTAAATACTAAAATTGTTGGATAAGTCTAACAATTTACTGGCATATTCACATGCACTGTTACTTCAGGAGATGAAGTTTGGGAATAACTGTTTGTACCTGTTTACCCCTTTTGTTGATAGATGTCAAGCCTCCAGTTCTAAGTGGCTGGAATAAGAATATGAAGATTGTAGTGGGAGCTATTGTTTCGGTTCTGTTCCTGATTTTTGTAATCTTAGGCATTCTGTGGTGGCAAGGCTATTTTCGACGTGAGCCATCAAGGGAACAAGGTACCCTAATAAACTCCAATCTACAATCTTATGCTTTCAAATGATTTCTCTAGGTGATCTATTTGAAAAAAATGCATGTTATTGCAAGCTTTTTTTTTTTATAGGAATAGTAGGTCTCATTAAAAACCTCCTTCTTAGTAGTCCTTTACCATAAGGCAAGAACCGACTAGCGGAAGGAGGAAAAGAGTACCTCAATATATTGATTATAAATGAATTACATAAGACTTAAAAACACTCCTAGAAGATACATAATACTTAAACACACTCTAATAAGACCCTTGCTGTAAAACCTCCGAACCCACTAGAACAAAGAAAACCACTACCCAATTCCCTCCTTTGCTAGCTTATCAGCTTCTCGGAATCCACCTCACAATGACCTCATTCTCAGAAACAATAGACACAATATCCTTAACAAAATTTAAAAGAAAATTAGGGACTGTATCCTGTTGTTTCATCCAATCCACGGCTAGCTTGCAATTACTTTCAATAATGAGCCTTCCCTTCAATACCCATTCTGATGACACAAATAGGTCTAAGCCTCTTTTGATAGCTTTCAACTCTGCTAAAATGATAGGAGTAGGACCTAATTTTTCTGAAAACAACAAAAGCTTATTCCGATTCCAATCTCTAATATTGAATGCGTAATTTGATTGGCTCCCCCTTATATTTTCCAAGTCTTGAGGGGGTTAGATCTGCAGGCTGGCTTTTTTACCTTCAAACAGATGAAAGCTGCTACGAACAACTTTGATGTTGCAAATAAAATTGGAGAAGGTGGTTTTGGAGCTGTCTACAAGGTACCTTAATTACATGCTCTCTCTTTACATTGTGACATGTTTCCTTCCGACCTTATGATGTCTAAGAGTACGTGTATGTGAGGAAATATATAACAAAATTTTATGTTATGCAGGGTGTATTGCTTGATGGTACCATAATTGCAATTAAAAAACTTTCTTCAAAATCAAGACAAGGGGATCAAGAATTTCTGAATGAACTAGCCATGATTTCAGGATTACAACACCCAAATGTTGTTAGATTGTATGGATGTTCTGTTGAGGGAACTCAGCTGTTGTTGGTATATGAATACATGGAAAATAATAGTCTTGCACGTGCTTTATTTGGTAAGCTTAATGTCCTAAACCTCTTTTATCCTCCTTTGGTGGTTCTGTTATTGGAACCATATAAAGCAAGTTTTCCTCTCCTCCTTCGATTACTTCCACATCCCCACCAGAAAAGAACATGGTGATGTTTAAAATTAAAGAAAGAAACATCTGAAACTATGTATTGACAACCATATGGTGTGTTTCATGGATCGGCTTGTGTCAACAAATAGGTCCTGAAGAAAGCCAGCTGAAATTGGACTGGCCTACAAGGCAGAAAATTTGTCTCGGAATAGCAAAAGGTCTGGCTTTCCTGCATGAGGAATCGAATTTAAAAATTGTACATAGAGACATCAAAACTACCAACGTGCTACTAGATAGCGATCTAAATGCTAAAATCTCTGACTTCGGTTTGGCCAAGTTTGACATGGAGGAAAATACCCATGTTACCACCAGAGTTGCTGGAACTATGTGAGCTCTCTCTTTCCCTCTGTTTTTCATCTGCTGATAATCATTGCATTTCTTTCAATTCAAGCTTATTCAGTTTGAATCAAGCAAAACAATATTGCTGTTTGTTTTTTGTTCTCATTTCCCAACTAAGTACAAGTTTGAGAAATAAATGATTTCTCAAGTTTCTACCATAATAGAAAAAAACAATACATTGATAATTTAAACTGCAGTTTTTGCAAATTGAATGCAGCGTCAATGTTTAAACTATAAAGCAGTAAAAATGAGATCAAAATTGCTTATGTAAACATGAGCAAAGTTGATATGCATGAAAACGTTGTGCTTAAGGCTCCTGTTTTTGCAGAGGATACATGGCCCCAGAATATGCATTATGGGGCTATCTCACCTACAAGGCAGATGTTTACAGTTTCGGGATTGTTGCATTAGAGATTGTTGCTGGGAAAAACAATACAAAATATCGACCAGAAGAGGATTATGTATGCCTTCAAGATTGGGTAAATATATGATCCGTGTTTCAAGTTATGATTTGAGTATATCATATAAATATCCATAGGTGCATTAAACTTCTGTGAATTCATTATTGTTTTTCTCCTGTTAATTAATTTAATGGTTTTAAGTTCTTTTATCTCCTCAATCTATTCCAGGCTCTTGTTTTACAACAAAAGGGAAACTTGATGGAGTTAGTGGATCCACGGTTGGGGACTGAGTTCAATGAAGAAGAGGCAATTAGGATGACAAGAGTAGCTTTATTGTGCACTAATTCATCACCAGCACTTAGACCAACCATGTCTGAAGTTGTAAACATGCTTGAAGGTCGAACCCTTGTTCCTGAATTAATCATGGACCCAAGTATCTTTGCGGACGAGTCGAGATTCGGAACACTGAAAGACAAACTCAACCGGATGCCATCCCTGAAGGATAGCAAAATCACCATGGTTACTCGGTCATCAGATTCTTCAACAGCAAGGCTTGGCTATTCCTCGACGCTTGTTCAACACCAACCACCTTCAAAGCAAACTTGATTGATTGTTGTACAAATGGACTGGCTTCAAAAAGAATACCTAAAATGCGGGCTTGTTTTATACACTTCGCTTATATTTTATTGAGACGAGGTGATTGATTTGGAAAATGAATGAACACGGTCAATTATAATTAGTCACGCATCTAAAAGTCAACAGAACATTACCTGAGCATATTTTACCTGATAAAAATATCCAATGGAGACCAGTCAACTGGGAATCCTTTGTTGTTCAGACACAACTCAAAGATAACGCGTTTTTCGCGATTATTGTAGTCAGCTCACAACATCCGCCTTTAGAACAAAGAACAAAAACAGCAACAAGATAAACAAAACTCACTCTCGCAATCCCCGTATCTCATTTACATTCCTTCTCAATAAACGACCTGAAACAGAAACCTGAAATAAATTAAAAAGCTTTCAATTTTTTAGGGTCATCTGAATCAAAGAAGTTCTTTTTCCTTCAATTTTTTTTATGGAAAACCCAAGAACAATAAGCGGCAGCCGGTTGAGCTCATCTTCTAGCCCAGATGCTTTGACTACTACAATAAGCAGCTCAATTCAAGCTTTGGGTCGTGGATTTGATGTCACTTCAGATATAAGGCTGTTATATTGCAAAGGGGCACCTGGTTCAAGGTTAGTCCAGCTCGATGAAGGTCATACCAACGATCTTGTTTTCTTAGGCGGGGTTATTGTGCCTAACGTGTCCGTTGATATTAAGTGGTCAATGGGAAAGAGTGACATCGAGAGAAAATCTGTTTGTAGCTTTAATGAGGTAGGCCGCTGCTACTCCCTTTTGATCTGTTTCTAATTTGTTTGTTTTTTTCTGATTTTGTTTGCTTCTCGGGGTATTCATATCTTTATCCCCCTTTTTTGAAAGAATTATCTGAGTGGTTTTAATTTCTCGGTTTGGATGCGCTGTTGGCCTTCTGTCTTTGTTATATGAGCGTTGTGGGTGGTTTGATTATTTGTTTCAAAGCTTGAACTTCGATATTGTGTGGACATGCTGGGATTTCCATTTGCTTACTTGCTTGCAGAAAATGCAATTGCTTGAATTTTTTCCTGTCTAGGGCTATTAGGTAGTCCCATCATCAAACCGAAAGAGAAAAGAATAGTTGCAAGGGAATATTATTTGTACAAATGAACTCTATACAGTTTAATCCAATTAAGCAAGTACTTTTCCATGTTATCTGTGTGGATGGCTTTCTTTTTCTGTTATCTGCTGCATATTCACAAATTGCTGTGCCTATGTTTATTGATTGCTAAAGTTTTCTTCTGACACCTCTAATTCATTAGAGTAAAGAACCTATAGGCAGGATCCATTTAAATTTAATTTGACAGTGATAAATGCTGAGCCAGTATACTGCTTTTGTGTATGCCATTTAATTTTTAGATTAAGGAATGCTTTCAACTTCTGGTATGATACATGATTTGGGTGCATTCGATGAATAAATGTATGCCAGTAGCCCAATCATTGCTTCATCTCTGATTTGGACTGAACTCACATTGTTGATGATGTTGTACGGGTAAAGCCATTAAGAACATCCATACTGTTCAGATAAAGCATTCACTCGATTCTGTTTGGTTATGAATGGCGTCTCCAGGTTGAAGGGGAAGTTCAACAGTGCGGCACCCTTAATATACAACTAAAAAAAGGCGTTACCGGTTTTGTTATTATTTAAATAACAAAACAGGTAAAAAATTACCTAAAACATTATTATTTCTAACTAAAACATTAATGTTTTTTAATATTTCCGGTAAAGTGCGCAACAATAACAAAACCGGTAGAAAAAATAACAAAACCGGTAGAAATAATAATGTTTACGGTAAATTTTTACCGGTTTTGTTATTTAAATAATAACAAAACCGGTAGCGCCTTTTTTTAGCCGTATATTAAGACTGCCGCACTTGATCATTTCCCATGTCCTATATATTGGAATTTTGTGCTTGTGTTGATGTATTGATGTATTTCAAAGGTCAATTAGTATAGATAGAGCGACACAATCACCTAATTAAAAGTAATGGTTCTACTTCCAGTGCTGTTGGTTTAGCACAGGCTGAGAAACCACCTTTAATGAACATCTTTATTTTTTAATTCCAGATGTCAGGATACTTTAATGAAAAATCTGGTATATCAGGGCGTGTTCCTCTGGGAAGTTTTAACGCAATGTTCAATTTCACTGGTTCTTGGCGAGTTGATGCTGCAGCTACAAAATCCCTTGCCATGGTCGGATATTTAATTCCCCTATACACCGTCAAATTAGCGAAGCAGAATTTAGTTTTGCATGAAGAAGTCAGACGTGCTGTTCCTTACACATGGGATCCTGCATCTTTGGCAAGGTAAATGGGATGGACTTCACAATGAAAGAGTAAACATTTTTCCTTCAGCTGTACTGTTTGTTATGTATCTTTGCATTTGTTGCTTTCATACTCTGAGGTAGTCAAACTAATTTCAGCTCCAAACCGTTTCTGGCAGTTATGTGTCATATGTATCACTAATCTTATCTCTCTGTTATTTATGATGGGGTATCATAGGAACTAGGAAGCATAGATGATAAATTTGCATTGGCAGACAGCTTCCGATTGTAATTGTTGATATTTTTATGTTTTCTTTTACCTGTCTTAGTTTTATCGAAAATTACGGTACACACATTGTCACCTCGGCTACAATTGGTGGGAGAGATGTTGTTTATGTCAGACAGCACCATTCATCTCCTTTATCATTAACAGACATTGAGAACTATGTGAAAGACATCGGGGATCAAAGGTTTCTGGACTCCAAAAGCCAGTCAAGTGCTGCACCCCTAAAATACAAAGACAAGGTTAGTATTATGGTGTTGTTCACTACGTACTCTATATCTAAATATAAGTAACTACCTGTTTATTACTTAGCCTTCCCTGCGAATGCTTACTTTCGGGGGGAAATGTGTTACTGTTTATATTTTCCTTTTATGTGAAGAAATCCATCGCTAAAAGAGTTCCTGCTGTAGGATGTTACAGTTATTTTTAGGAGGAGAGGAGGTGATGATCTTGAGCAGAGTCATGCCAGGTGGGCAGAGACTGTGGAATCGACACCAGATGTCATTAACATGACATTTACTCCCATTGTTACTCTTCTTGAAGGAGTGTCTGGAATAAAACATTTGGCCCGTGCAATTGAACTATACTTGGAGTGTAAGTTCTTCAAATGTTCCACAACATGCACTATTATTATCTTACATCGATGGTAAAGATGTTTTCATTCTTCCTCTCTAGGGTCTATTTAACATTCATTATTTCCTTTGACCAGACAAGCCACCGATTGAGGATTTACAATATTTCCTGGATTTTCAAATTGCTCGAGTTTGGGCTCCAGAACAGAGCAACATTCAAAGGAAGGAACCAGTGTGTTCATCCCTTCACTTTAGCTTAATGGGTCCAAAGCTTTATATCAGCCCAGACCAAGTAATGTCTAAATCAAAAACCTACATTATTGAATGTATGAGGAAAAGTGTTGGGGGTTATATAAAATGTTACTCTAGTGCATAATTATTATTGCATATTTCCTTGAAGTTCGATATTTATTACCACTTTAACAAAGAAAATGGAACACTGTTAATAAATGGAAAGAAAACATGAAGCGCCCGGGGTACACTTCGGAATTACTGTTTGTTATCTGTGTCACTTGATTTATTGCAAATGTTGTGAGGCTCTGATCATAAGTTTTTTCGTAAAAGAAAACGATGAACGTTGAGAAGGAAATTTTTTTTTTTTTGAAAAAGAAGGAAATTGTTGAGCAGTAGGTATGTATGCTTGTGCATGTAAACTTCATGAGGCCTAAAATCATTTTTTTCCTCCTGCTAAATTAGCATGTACAATGATATTTCAGGTAACAGTTGGCCGTAAACCAGTCACTGGGCTTAGGCTTAGCTTAGAAGGCAGCAAACAGAACAGACTAGCGATTCATTTGCAGCACCTTGTATCTCTTCCAAAAATACTTCAACCCCACTGGGATGTGCACATGGCGATAGGTGCACCAAAGTGGCAAGGTCCTGAAGAGCAAGACAGCCGTTGGTTTGAGCCTATCAAGTGGAAAAACTTCTCCCATGTGAGTACTGCACCGATAGAACACACTGACACTTGCATTGGAGACCTCTCTGGCGTTCACATTGTCACAGGGGCTCAGCTTGGTGTATGGGACTTTGGCTCCAAAAACGTATTACACCCCAAGCTCCTCTTCTCCAAAGTACCAGGGTGCACGATAAGGAGATCCGTATGGGATCATAGTCCATCCAGCCTTTCTACTGGACAGAGGACTGATGGATCTTCATCATCAGTTTCAAATGAGAGAACGTCTGACAATAACAAGGAGGACTGTTCGAGCCATGTGGGGAAACTTGCAAAAATTGTGGACTCAACGGAAATGTCGAAAGGACCACAGGATAGTCCTGGCCATTGGTTGGTTACAGGGGCGAAGCTTGGGGTGGACAAGGGGAGGATTGTATTGCGTATCAAGCACTCGTTACTGAATTACTGATCCGTTATTTTTGTTTTGGTAGGATTACTCTTTTTCCACTATTAAGCATACTCAAAGCATTCTTTGAATTACAGGCGGTCATTCTTCGTTCGATTCTTGTGTACAGTGTGGCACTTTTTGTTTGTTTATTTGTCCTTACAGTTGATAGTCAGATTATTAGGCCAATGGCTACTATTTTTCCTCTATTCGGTTTCAATATTTGATTTTCAGAAAACTAGGCTATATTTTCCAATAAATACGGCATTGCCATGTGTAGTGGTGGTGCTAATTGTTGTGTTTTAAACACTGCGCTTCATCGTTGAATGGTCTCTGTTCATGTTTTTTTAGCGATTCTTATTCCTATATTCAGATTAGTTTGGATTACGCATGCGACATAGCTAACCTGTCTTCCTAGGCTGTTGCTAGGAATTAGGAAACACTATTGGTGAGCACCGCATGCTGCCAGGGAGCTTTATTGCAAGGAGCACACTACAAGGCACCCATTTTTTTTTAAAAAATAATCCTATGTAATTGTGCTCCACTCCTTGTAACCTCCACCCAACCCCCAAAAAAAAACCAAAGGATGAATAGAAACAA